AGTTTTAAGGTTGGCTTATTGAGGCAGGCGGTGAACTCGGTGCTTCCCCATTGGCTGCACATGTTCACCTTCTTTTGTCGAAGGTGGTCTGTGAGTCCTCTCTGGGGCGGGGGGTGCAGATCAAGCTAGAGAGGGGGACCGCCAGGCCCATTTCAGATACGGCGGTGGTGAACCAAAAACAAAAAGGGGGAGGGCAAAAACCCTGCATCACCAGATGACCACGGTCTGTTCGAGAAAGGAAAGCCTTCACCATCGGGCCTCTCTGCACTGCTCTTTCTTCCAAAGGTGGAATTCGACAACGAACTTTCCGCAAGAACATGGAAAGATGCACTTCCATATGTTTTGTCTTTTGTGAATGTCCAGCTCAGTGCAGCTGGGCCCATTTCATTCATACCCCATGCCCGGCGATGACGGGGGCAGCTTCCTCTGCGTTTTTTTTGTTTTTTTTTTTGTCTCCATGTGCAAGGAACATGAATATGGACGAAGCACAGAAATCCAGATTGCAAAATCAGACTGAAGTCCAAGTAGTCAAAGCAAGAGCAGATAGCACAATGGAACCGAGTAACCATCCATTTGAGAACGATACAGAAGAATCGTGAGTCAATGTCCAAGCCCAACAGGGCAACACCAACAGCATAACCCAATGTAGCTCTCTCTCTTGAATGGCGCCAGGTGCCCTACCTACTCTACAGCCTATCACTACAACTACTGTATGAAAGCAACCAGACAACTTGACGACCAGCGAGTGATGATGTCAACACCCATGCTGACCTCCACCTCCACCAGGTACGTCTCCTTCTTCACCCACACTCTCCCTTGTTATCCCACACAGCGCCYYTCACCTCCGAAGAACCACCTTCGCCCTCACCTCCCCTGCGCCCTCAAGCAGCCCGGCTATGGCCGCCAGCGCCCTGTGTACAGGCAGCGCCCTACCGCCTAGCGCCTGCCTGTCGCGCACCTCAGCCTAGCGCAGCGCAGCAGCTCGCATTAGCGCAGCGTGCCGGCATTGCCCGCAATGGCCAAGATCCCTGCCCACTCGCCCTGCTTGCCTATATGCCAGTGTTGCGTGTGGGCGGCCTCCCTTCAGCCTGCGTCTGGGCCCCAGTACCTGTGCCCAGGCCCGATGCAGTTGAAGCCCGGAAGATGCAGTTGTGCCTCTTTCATCAAGGCCTGCGGCCAGATTGGGATAGTGGGCCGATTTCCCCTTGCATTTTCGGCCTCCACATCCAGCATGCATTGTCAGCCTCACGTTAATGTGGCCAGGGCCTACCCAACTCAGGGACCCTGGGATTTCTGCATTTGCAGAGATCCGAGACTCGGTGCACTCCAACCAACTGACGTGCTGCAACTGTATGGACCCCACTTCGTGAAATGTTTGCACAGAGGGCTCTTGTTGATTTGCTGGCCCGCCTTCACTTAGGGCGGGCRCGAGGCTTGCTGGGGCCTTAGCCCAGAACATGTACATCATGGCAAGGCCCGTTCTTTAGGGCTCAATCCGCACACATGTGGAAGAACTGTAAGCGCGCTACACAACTGGAATATTTTTTCGCCCCACGGAGAAAATAAGGCCGCACAACGCCGTCAATTAACACAATTGGGTCCCGGCAGAGCGCTAGCGCCATCCGGTAAGCGCTAATTCACTGCGCAATTTACCGCGCCCGCTCCCAAGCAAACTTTCTTCCACCACGGAAAAGTACTCCGCGCGCGTTTTCACTTGTGCGCCATCTGTCTTTTTTCAAACGGGAAGACCAAAGGCGGGAAACGGAAGGAAGATCAAGCTAGAGCTTGCCATGCCCTAGGGCGTGGCTACTCGAGTAAAGGAACAAGACAGGAAAGGCAAAGACAAGGAGAGGAAGAGAGAAGAGTGAGGAAGAAGGATAGCGAGCAAGTTACCCCGACGAGGAGAAAAGTGAGTAACGACGAGAAAGGAAAAGTATCTCAACCAAGGGCAAGAAGAGACACACGCAACCCCGGAATTTCGAATCCGAAATCGACGGGTCTGCGAGTGAGGGGCGGGAAACGGGTCACTGCTCCAGGGAACGACACTCAAGGGTTTGGCGAAAGGGGACAAGACACGATAAAGGAAAGAGAGAGTAAGGAAGTGACAGAAAAGGAAACAGGGAGAGGGAAGACGAGACAACTAAGAATAGGAAAGGACAAAAGCAAAGGTCAAAGAGGAAGGAGAGGGGCGAGCAAGAATTTCTAAACAAAGAAGGCAAGAAGGGAAACAAGCCACGAACTGAACGCTCATCACGCATCGCGGGAGGAAAGGAGGACAACAATCGGCCTCTCATCATTTTGACACTCAAGGTTTGAACAATATTCCGCAGAAAGAAAAAGGTAAGAACAGCAGCCCCCTTTTTTCAACCTAAGACGCAGCGAGCAAGAGACAGCAAAAGACAGAGTGAGGAGCAACAGAAGAGGAAGCGGTCAGGAAGAGAGAAAGGACAACACTTCTACAGGACGAGTCGCACTCAAGTGGACTCCACATCGCACATTGTCCCTATCCGAGTTTAGAGTCGAAAATCCGAGGAGGAAAACACGGACTTTCGTAACCCACCACACCCCGTAGAAAATCGCTACACTGTAAACGACAGTATTTTAGCGGACTAAGTGCGTACTTCAATAACATTGTCTCCACACACATCCTACCGCCACCCACGACATTGATAGGCACCTCACCTACCTCCATACGACAACAAACGTGAACGCGTCCACCCATCCACCCCCCTACAGGCCATCTCTAACACCTCATAATAACGATGAAACCCATTATCACTCCTCTTTCACAAATGCGTGCTTCTCCACACACACCCATCATCACCCCACAACATTCTCACGTACGTAAATTCCTTCCTCCCCTGCCACCCCTATCTCCCACATCTCGCCATCTTTATACCCGTATCCCCACGCTCTCATTCGTCAGTATACAAGACGCACCCCCAGCACAACTACGCAATACATCCGCTACCCTTCTCCCCCCCCCCCCCCCCCCCCCCCCCCCCCCCCCCCCCCCCCCCCCCCCCCCCCCCCCCCCCCCCCCCCCCCCCCCCCCCCCCCCCCGCACCCCCACATTTCGGATTCCCCACACACCGAAGCGATCTTCTTCGTTCTCCCCCCCACCCTCCCACCACTCCCGAAGTTAACACAAACTCCTCCTCTTGCAAATCGGATGAAGGAAGTGTTTTTGAGAAAAGGAAACCTTGAGGATTTCGAAACGAAGACAAAGTAACACTCAAACTCGAAGCTTTTCTTTTTTCACCAACAAATATTAATAGTTTTATTATCAAAACCATATAATTTTGACTATTTTATTCATCTAACCAATATTATTTTTCAAGAGTACCTGACTGCAGAGCCGCAGGAAAATACACTCGTTTCTCAAGGAAAGAAAATCTCTCTTGTTGGAAACCGATCCCTTCACTACCCAAATCAGACTCCACGCTCCCCTGGTGGGGAGGCGAAGCCCTGCCCATTTCACCACTTTAAAGTTGATCTCAAGACCTCCAAAGGGGGAAGAGAACCCTCCTTTCACTCAGCATTTCCTGAACCTCATCTCTCGCTCCCCAGGTGGGGAGGCGAAGCTCTACTCATTTTTCACCATTTCGCCATCACTGTCCTTCGGAGGATGTACCCACGATCCCCAAAAGGGGAGGTGCTACTCTGACTAAATTTTGGACATTGTAGACATTTTTGCCTCATTCAAATTCTCAAATTTGATTGTGTAACATCACACTTCTTACTCCTTCCCACTGGTAGAATCCTGACCACCAGGAGAAGAGAGTAAATGCTGCCCAAGCTGCCGCTACTTCAATTCCCTCGCTAAACCGAAACCATCTTCAACAGGAGCCTACACTTGTTCTGTCATCTCTCTCAAAATGGCTCCGACATATGCAGAGGTCACCGCTAAAGCAGCAAACTCCGCTGTCAAAGAACCCAAGCCCACAGCCAATCCCACAGTCACACCCGGGAAAACAGACCCAACGAAAGCAATAGAACCAACCCAAGGGCAAGAGGACTCCAACTTTCAGAATTCACAACATGACCAGAACTCAGCGAACATAGCGAACACAGGATCAAGCTCATTGTGCCAGAGAGCGATGGATTTCGTCATCACAAGCACAAGAACAAAAGCGAAAGTCAATATCATAAAGGAAACTATCTCCTCTGAACAAGGCGAAGAACAAACGATTGAGATCTGGGAATACCCAGAAGAAGATGAGTCCACCTGCAATGAGGTCTTTGAAAAACACGCAGTGTTATTCAATTTCCCCCAAAAATGTTCCGACATGTCTCCAAATGAGAAACGCACATGGGTCAGAGACATCCAGCGCTCACTGGAAGAAATTCCAGGAACAGAGCCAGATGTGACCTACCGCAAACGTGCCAGGAACACGGTGATGATTGTAACACCAGACAGAGCACAAGCCCGCTACCTCATCCRGGAACAGAGCCAGATGTKACCTACCRCAAACGTGCCAGGAACACGGTGATGATTGTAACACCAGACAGRGCACAAGCCCGCTACCTCATCTCCCTAAACAGTCTGAAATGCAAGAAGGGAGTGGTGACAGTCTCAAGCTGGAAACCGAGGAGGGCACCGCAACCAGACGCTTCACGTCGCAGACAGATCATGCTGAGAAACAATTTTTGGGTGCAGTTCGACAATATTTCAGAAGGTTTACACAGCTTTGTCGAGAGAAGACTTACTGAGGCTTACCCAAACAACCCAGCCCTGGAATGGTTCTGGTCTTCGACGACACTTTGGATGCCCCTAAATGGGTCTGGGTCATGAAGGGCGATCCCACAGTCCAACCAGACATTTACCCCCCTCATGGGAGTGAATAGCAGAAAAAGGGCTCCAAAAGAATAGAAGACAAAGATGGCAGCTTTCTAAAAAAGCAGATCTTGGACATCCAGAGTGTGATGGAAGACAAGCATCGCAAGGACACTATCCAGGAACTCATAAATACCGGAGCCTCGGCCGAAAAGGCCTACGTTGAGAACCTGCAGGCCAGAGAGAAGCTGTGGATGGCAGAAAAAGCCCAGGTAAATCAGCACATCCAAACAGGAAGCCAGAAAAGCACCTCACAGACAGCGCAAGCAAAACCGCTCAAAAGGAAGGCAGACCATGCGCCTCCCTCCTCACCAACTGACACGAATTCTACAAGCAAAATCAGCAGAGTGGAAGACAACCACACGAGTACAGGCAACAAGCCTGAAACAACAGATTCAATGGATCTCTCAAAGGCAGACAAACAAGGAACAGCAAAGGAAGGGAATGAACACGAGGACCTAGAAAGGGGCAAAATTGACGCAACTGAAGGGAGCACGAGTGAAATGGACGAAGACAAGCCCGACAAGGATGCCAATCTCAGTGAGCACAGTGAGGAAGAAGATGAGGAGGAAGAAGATGAGGAAGAAGACGAAGAGGAAGAAGAAGACGAAGAGGAAGAAGAAGACGAAGAGGAAGAAGACAGGATGTCACAAGCCACTAAGGGAAGCAGCTCTTCATCAAGAGGAAAATCGGACTCACTGGAGGAAGGGAAAAAAGAAGAGGAAGACAAAGAGGAAATGAACATCCAGTGGTTGAAGGAATATGTCAAGGAATTGGAGAGGGAAAGGGAAGTGGAATTCGAAATAAGAATTGCACACAAAAAGCACCTCTTCAACCTGCAAAACATCATCCAAGATCAACAAACAGCAATCAGCAGTTTCCCCACTGAGAACCAATTTGAGATCCTTGAGAAAGAACAAGAACTTTCCAACTTCTTTGCGGAAAGATATGCACATAGATTGTCTGCGTCATCATCCCAAAATCACACAGCAAACAACATCCAAAACTGGCCTAAATCATACTCGACAGTTTCCAGCAGACGACCAGCCAAAAGAGCAAAAGACCCAAACGGCAGAGCGCAGGGAAACACAACGGCTAGAACAGAGGAAGGGACAGAAGAAGAGGAAGTGATCCAGCTCAGCACAAAAGAGGACCTGGACAGACAAACCGAAATCCTCAAAGCCCAAATCACAGTTCTCAAAGACCAGAACAGGGACACAACAGAAGGCACAGTCAATTTGCAAAGCCTAGCTGCAGGCAAGACCTCAGAAATTTTCACAGCAGCCAGACTAGAAGCAAAAAAGGACTGCAAGAAAAGGATAGCGATTCCCTACAGGTGGAACGAGACTCACAAGGATTGGGAAGTGGCTCTCAACAAGGACTGGTCGTTAATAGCACTGACCAAACCTTCAGAGAAAGTGATGTTCAATGAAGTGTCAGAGACAGCGCCATTGGAGTCTCACATCCTAGGGCCCAGAGAAGAATGGAAAGAAGAATGGTTCGGTCCCTCAAGAGACATCGTGACAAGTGAGCTCAGACCCTTCATGGCCCGACTCTCGATGGAGGCTCAACTTTATGACCACCTCACGTGGAAACCATGGAAGGTACTGAGGGCAATTCCTTATGGACTGATGGGAGGAGACGCCCCTGCTGAAAGGGCTGCAGTTGCAGCATCAATAGTAGAGGCGCATGGCCTCTTTGTGGGAGAGGAGGAGCACCTGCAGGAGGTACTGGCCTCAGCAACTCGTTGAACCAAATCACGCCAGAGCCAGCAGGCTGGTATCACCGTGAACTAGCCAAATCAACTAAGGGACCCCAAGCCAACCCAAATCAAGACCCCATGACATTACCAACATTACAAGCACAGACACAGGTACCACAAAGCACCAAAAAATACACTCTAAAATCTAGTGTACCTGAATTAACAGTAATGTCATGGAATGTTAACGGTTTGGCTACAATTTTATCCAATACAGACAAATGGGACAACATGACCAAATACCTCAACTGGTTCACCAAGAATCCACCAGATATAGTATGCCTCCAAGAAACTCACTTAACAGACTCCATCGAGCACAAAACAACAATCCAAAAAATCTTATCAAGATTAAAATACGTACACACCGGGTATTGGGCCACATCCTCAAGAAAAGGCTCATCAGGCACAGCCATTCTCAGACATCAAAACTCCAAAGCAGCCAAATCGCTTAATGTATCAGAAGTTATTACAGATGAACAAGAAGGTAGATGGATAGATCTACATTTCACATATAAGGAAGAAAGCTTCCAACTAATAAACGTTTATGCCCCTAATGATCCTACCCATAGACAAACCTTCATACAGAGTATAGCAGCTAGATGCAACACCCAAAAGCACCTCATACTAGTAGGAGACTGGAAAACCACACTAGACCCGGATAGAGACAGAATCTCTACCTCCCAAAGAGGTAGAGAAGACACACTTCTTTCAGAGGCACAAGTAATACAAGCACTAATGTTAGAAAAGGATCTAATAGAACCACTATGCACAATACAACCAGAATCATAAAGATACACATACAGAAAGAAAAACAGATCCCAACATATAACAAGTTCAGCGATAGACTACTTCCTTATATCCTAGACTCTCAGAGGTGCAACCCATAGCATAGGATTAGGAAAACACCCTTACCACAATGGTCTGGACCATACTCCTATCTTTCTTAACCTTCTGTTTGACCCAGGGTTACAGAAAGGAACAAGCTTCTTCAAAATCAACAATTCACTACTGCACACTAAAAAAATGAAAGAAGCAATAGCCTATGCATGCATAAAAGCGGACAGAGAAGGAGCAGACTTCCCAACATTAGTTGCAAATCTATCCCAAGCAGCCTCTTCAGCCTCTAGGAAAATAGCAGCCAAAAGAGACCAAAAGATAAAGGAGCTGGAGACAGCAGTCAATCTTGCAGAAAAAAATCTCATAAACAACCCAGGAGAATCAGCCTACGAAGAACTTCTGGTAAGATCTAAAGTTGAACTAGAAGGCAAAAGGCCTACGCATGAGAGATCGAATCAAAGAATGGGAAGAAGGAGAAAAAATGACTAAGTTTTTTTTTCAGAAAATCAAAGCAAAGGGAAGAAATGCAGCCATCCACCAACTTAAAAGTGAAGAAGGACTTACGTCAAACCCAACGAAAATGTGGGCTATAGCAGAAGCCTCTTACAAAAATCTCTATACTTCCAAAACTGAACAACCAGTACCAGGATCAGTACTTCAGGCAAGAGAGAAATTTACCAAGCATCTGGACAAAACAATCCCATCCAACCTGGCTAGCCAACTGGACATGCCCATAACTAACGAAGAAATCAAAAAAGCTTTGGATTCGATGAAACCAGGGAAAACTCCGGGGCTAGACGGTCTATCCAAAGAAAACTGGCCATTACTAAGAGAAGAATTCTGCAAGTTTGTCAGAACAACCTGGACTAATGAAGGTTTAGGCCCCTACCTAAGTACAGGAATAGTCACACTACTACACAAAAAAGGTGACCCCACTGACATCAAGAACTATAGACCAATTACATTACTAACGGTTGCTTACAAAATCCTAGCCAAGCTCCTAGCAAATAGAATAAGAAACATAACCAAATCTTGTTTTCACATAGACCAAACAAGTTTCATTCCAGGCAGATTTATATTAGATAACGTAATGACACTAGCAGAATCAGTAAGATATATCAGTGACAAGAAAATCAATGCAGTTATCCTCTTCTTTGACTTTGAAAAAGCTTACGACCAGGTCAACTGGGACTTTCTACAACAATGCATGGAAAAAATGGGGGTGGGACCCATCTTTCGTAGGTGGGTTAAAATTCTATATAAGGACGCCTATGAAGCGGTACAAGTAAACATACACATATCTAATACTTACAAAATGTCAAGATCAGTGAGGCAAGGAGATCCCCTTGCAGCACCGATCTTTCTTTTTATCATGGAGGCAATAGCCTCTTTTCTCAGAAAAGATTCATCCATAGAAAGAATCACCTGAACATCCGATAACTTTACCCACAACTACATTATACCTCCCACCATCCTCTTCGCAGATGACCTAATAGTGTTAATAAGAGCCACCAATTCCTCCTTTGAAGCCCTCATGAGAGCGATGAGCGCATATCAGTTAGCTTCAGGAATGCGGATTAACTGGCAAAAAACCAGAGGATGGTGGCTAACAAACGACAACAGCGAGCCCCCCCAAAATACACCAGAGGGTATGACATGGACAGATCCCGCAGACCCAATGAGAGTTCTAGGAATACAAGTAAATGACTTTGGCGCAGCCACAAAAATGGCCCCCAGTCTCCTCGCCAAGATGATCACAAAACTCAATTCATGGGAGAAGGTACACAACTCTCTATTTGGAAGAGCCCTAATTCTGAATTCTTCCATCTTCTCAATGATGTGGTACGTCGCAGCATTTTGGAATCCTGAACACAAAGCCATAAAAGAGATTAAAAGGAAGGCCGCAGCCTACCTATGGACAGGAGATGCATCCAAACAACATTTCATAACCAAGGTCGCCTGGCAATATGTCACAAGAAAGAAAAGCCAAGGGGGATTGGGGATTCTTGACCCAGCAACTCAAATAAAAGCTCTCCAAACCAAGTGGATTCTAAAAATGCTAACCTCACCCAGTATCCCATGGAGGTCACTAGCTTTAGAAGGAATCCAACACCTACCAATCTACAGCACACCATCGAACATGGAAGGCTCCTTTTGGTTAATGAGTAAATCCTGGTCAATGAAGAACAGATCAACGAATACACCTCACTCCAAAGGGGAGGCAAGAATAAATTTCTGGAGGAATATCATTAAAGCCTGGAGAGAAATCTTCCCTTCAAAAGTAAGAAGGCCACAAAACAAGGAAGAAATCCTAAGACAACCCTTATTCTGCAACCCTTGGATATTAGAAGAAGAAGACAAACCCTTTATATTGACCACAAAGGACACAAGATGGGGAGCTTGGCTGGAGAAAGGAATCTGGCAAGTGAAACATTTATGGGATGAAAACCAGCAAGAATGGAAAGACGAAAAGCAGCTTAGAGCGTCTCTCAAGGGCTGCCATCGCTTAGGGAACAACCTTCAGCAAATAATAGCTAGTATCCCTCCAGATTGGATCCCTACTCTAAAAAATAATAGACAATGGACGATGGGAGACTGGGCGGTAATGACACACATAACTTCTTATGAGCATGCATTGTCATACAAGGAAAAGGTAGAGAGCAAAGACAGGTGGATCACTTTTACTATGCATATAATAGAGGACCCTCATAAGGACCATAGTAAAGTAAACAAAAGCAGTGTAGGACAAGTTACTGTCAGAGAGGATAACCTCAGAAAAGTAAGAGTAGTAGAAAATGACGAGTTAACCCTGTTCAACCCCCAAATTAGCCTAGAGAATCTAGAAATAGACCCGGCAGAATGGGCATGGAATCAGAAGCAAAGAACCACTGGAATCAACCTCAAATATAACATCCTTCAATATACTACAAGCATGGGGTACAACTTAAGAAGGAGATCAGCGTCCCCGGACCCAGTGATAACTGAGCGATGGTGGAACCACCTACAAGTCGATCCAGAAAATTTTAACCAGATTCCATGGAACCAAGTAACTACAATCCACCCGCCCAAATTCAGAAGTTTACAATGACTTATTCTCTACCTCGCAGTTCCACTAAACCAATGGCTAAATACAAGAACAAGAAAAGAAGAGAGAAGCCTACTTAAGCAACTTTGCGCCACATGCAATGAGGGCCAAGTAGAGGATCTCTACCACTGCTTCTTTAGATGCCCCAAAATACAACCCCTGTGGCAAAGAATCAATAACATTTGGGAGAAAACAGTCAACATAGAATTCACCAACAATCAAGTTCTCATACTGCTGGGATTCAACACACCAGAAAAGTGGACGAGCATAGAAAACAATCTCTTTCAAATCCTTCGGAAAGCTTCTCTTTGGACCATTTGGAGGAAGAGATGCCAAGAGACAATAGACAAACAACCAATGTATAGTCAAGAAGCCTGGGCAATACTACAACAGCAGGTTGAGACAGAATACTGGGTATTGTGGCGAAAAGTAAAGAGGAAAATGAGAAAAGACGAGAGTAGAGCAAATGAGCATAAAAACGACTTTGAAACCAACTACTTGGCAAAAGGCAAAATAGCAAGGATCAAAGGTCACAGCCTGATCTTCACGCTGTGGGAAGGAATAACAAACGCACCCCAAGCAGACTCCCATTCACTCGTAAGTATCCCAGAATCCCAGGACATCCATATGGACTCCGACTAGAGAAGACCACCAAAAGTACTGCCCCAATAGATAATAGACAAGAGAGTTAACTAAGCCGGCGACTAAAAGCAAGCAAGGTTAGAAACCCCTAAGAACAGCGGGTAGGAGTAAGGTTTCATAAGAAAACTACCAAGAAAGAACAAACTCGTACTAGCTCTGACACCCTTAATAATAAGCACAAGGAGTGAGGTCTAGGGTTTAGGGTTTAACCTCATAATCAGATCAAAATCCCTTTCCCCATTCCCCCCTCAAACCCCTCACACCCGTCATTCCCTCCCGTACTTACCTAAGCCCATTTACCTCCACATAAACCACCCAGTGCCCAACCCATAACCCTTAGATACACCACCACACACTCAAACACATCAGCCATCCAATGCCAAAACTACACAAAAACCCCACACAATTTTCCTCAGACCAGCAAAACACCACTAATCCCTATCTGATCAACAGGCCCCACGATGACTACACCATCCATTCAACGCGAGAATAAACTGGGGTCACAGGATATGGATCCTAAGTAGG